AAAAAAAAAAAAAAAAAAAGAAATCACGTTCTAGGCTAGTGGCAGAATCTAGTATTAGTTTTTAAAATGTTTTGGGCAAATAGCTTCACCAGGTAACAGCATTTTCATGTTTTGAGGAATGGAAGATGTAAGATACAGTTTAGCTGTATCTAAGGCTCACGACAGAGAAACCCATTACACAAAACGAATTTCTCTTTGCCTCTCGGTAGGTCTGCAATATTGTGGCAGGACAGCGATGTATAAAGAAGCTCACGGACAATCAGACTTCCACAATGATCAAAGCGACAGCAAGATCTGCACCTGACAGACAGGAAGAAATCAGTAGACTGGTCAGTAAGTCATGGTCTTCAAGATAAGCTAGCTTTAAGATGAGAAAAGAAGAAAATATAAAACTCCTGGTGGGACACAGTTACTCTTTGGTTTTTATATACGCAGGCTTTCCTGTTCCTTAGGTGAAGAGTAACAGTATGGTGGGTGGACCAGATCCATACCTTAAAGAATTTGGCATTGTTGTCCACAATGAAATGACAGAGCTCACAGGCAGGGTACTTCCAGCACCAATGCTGCAGTATGGAGGCCGGGTAAGCTTTTTATTTTATTCAGCAAGCTTCTTCCAACAACCAGTCAAAAAGAGAATAACCCAGGGTTTCTCCACTACACCACACTGAATTTACCCATAGTTTTGTTCAGTATTGCTTTTTGTCTTTTGGCTAATACCAAATAGAATTTTGTTTATCCCCTCATCGACATTAAAATGGCCTTAGATTGTAATGTCTTTTCTCTTTTCTTTTGTTTCTTTTTTGTTTTGTTTTTTTTTTAAAGAATAAAACGGTAGCCACACCCAACCAGGGTGTCTGGGACATGCGAGGAAAGCAGTTTTATGCTGGCATTGAAATTAAAGTTTGGGCAGTTGCTTGTTTTGCGCCTCAGAAACAATGTAGGGAAGATTTACTAAAGTGAGTATCTTCATATTTTCAGCTTAGTAATATCCCTTCCAGATATGAAAATACCATCTTTACATGAATGTGCTATGTGCACTGGCACTAAATCCCTGACTCCTATAGTGACACCATCTGGCTATAGGAAAAAGACCTTGTATTATAGTAAATTGCAAACTTGGGAATGACATTAAGAATCTGAGTCAGCTTTCTTACATTTAGAGCAGAAATTTGTGACTAACAAGGCCAAAGCAGTGACAGTTGGCAAACTCTTCTGAGTTCTTAGTGAAGCTTCCTGTGGTATTAATTGTATCTTTTCAGCTAAGATAAAAACTAGTCCATTTTTAATCATTATAATTTACTAGTGAGCTTGTTTTATTGCAGGGTCACTGACTAAGATCATTGGTTCATGTCTTACAGATGCAGCTATCTATAGAAAGGAAGTTAGTAAAAAGGGTGGAAAACTCAAGGCAGGAAAAGGGAACTGGATGAAAGAAAGGAATCTTACAAATCTTGACAAATGCACAAAAGAAATTCGGAAAGCTTTATACATATATTAAAGTAACTTCACAAATTTAAAATTTAAAACTTCACAATGAATTTTATTTTTTTAAAGTGATGATTTCTTTTGATATTGTTATTGAATCAAATCTATTACAAGTTTGAATGTAATCCTAAATATACTGATTTGTGTTTCCATATTCTCAATTGAACACAAGCTTACCCAACTACTCTCGTGCCAGGCTTCCCAAAATACACATTATCTGAAATTTTGACTTTGCTTTTCTTTAGTTCAGAATTATTGACGTGAATGTTTAAAAAAATCTTTGAACGGAAATGCTATTCTAGTCCCTGGGGCCCCGTTGAGGTATAATTATTTAAAAATTCAAAATGATAATCTGATAGCTTAATATTAATAACACAGATTCTTTGTGCATTATAATTGCAGTGATACAATTGCCAGCCCATTTTTGGCAACCGGTTATGGATTTTTTGTTTATTTGTTTGTCTTTAATTTTGGCTAAGAATGTGCAAAACTGAAAGAAGTGTCTTTGAGGAAAATAAATGCTAGGAATGTACTCTGAAATGAAAGCACTGTACTACTGGTTCTATTTTACCAGGAGTTTCACTGACCAGCTCCGTAAAATCTCTAAGGATGCAGGGATGCCCATCCAGGGCCAGCCATGTTTCTGCAAGTACGCACAGGGTGCGGACAGCGTGGAGCCCATGTTTAAACACCTGAAAATGACATATGTGGGCCTACAGCTCATAGTGGTTATCTTGCCTGGGAAGACACCAGTGTATGGTATGGACCCCTTTAATATTGAACGAGGGATGATTTCAAATAGTTGGTCAGGATAAGCTAGGTTATGCTGCAGTCACAAACAACTCCAAACTCTCAGTGGCTCAGATCATCCAAGGTTTATTTTTTGCTTTTCCTGTGTGTCCATTGAGGTAGACTGTGGCCTCTGTTACATGTCATCATGTTATTTTTCACTCTGAGACCCGGGTTGGCATAGCAGTTGCTATTTGGAATGTTCTTGGCCCCTTGGCAAAGAGAAAAGAGGGCTCTGGAAGGCTCTTAACATCTGCAACTTCTGTTTTTGAGAGAGAGGGAGAGAGAGAGAGAGAGAGAGAGAGAGAGAGAGAGAGAGAGAGAGAATGTGTAGCCAGGGCAGAAAGAGGGGGAGAGAAAGAATACCAAGCAGGCTCCTCACTACTGACACAGGACCCGATGTGGGGCTGGATCTCATGAACTATGAGATCAT